TCGCAGGGGCATCCCCCTGCATTTTCCGACACCATTTTTTGCAGCCGTTCAACTGCTCCCCGGTAAGATCCCCCTTGCAAAATGCATTGCACAATTTGTAGTTCCAATATTCATTGCGACACGCCTTTACTATTGTCCCTTTTGCTATTGCTCCAGCTACTGATTCACTATGAACCAATAGTGGTGGAAGGAAATTGACAAGAAGGAAAAGGAGAAGGAGAGGACGAATGATATTCATGATGATTTTGATGAATAATATTTTTTTCACCTTCAAAAAATTCGGGTGTTATTAATTTTGATGATGATTAGAATCTGTGAATTTATTGATCACTAGATGTGAGGATGTCTATGCATATATATGTATACATGTAGTCAATGGTACACAGACCACGAAAGTATACCTTAAGAAAATGCAGTAACATTACTGTCAACAACATTAAATAGTTGGATACAACTAATTAAGATCATTAGTTTTTGTTGGAATATTAATCTCTACATGTGATTCCTTTTTTTAATACTAATAGGGACAACTCGACATGTCTGGACTAACAACATACATAGTAAACAAGACAAAGGAATATGTATGTTAGAAAGTCAATTACACGAGGTACAAGAGAGGCTTAACTAATGGCTAGTTTGATAATGCCATTTATTATTTAAAATTTATTCAAATTAACCATATTTTTTTGTTACTTTAACATGTTTCGTAACTCCCTCCAAAAAAGAAAAAAAAAAAATCTTTGAACCAAATATAGACAGTAAAACTATGTTTGAACACTATTATATAGTGGTTTTAATTTATTGAGTGAAGCTCAAAATAAGTCATCAACCTTTAATATATTTCCATTCTAAGTCATCAATTAAATTTATTTGTAACACAGATTATCTTACTAAAGTTTTAATTTATTTCAGATTATTCTGTTAATTTTGGCTGTTAAATAGTGACGGAAATCCATTTTTACATGCTTGTGGGTTCAGGAGTATTTTTGTCATTTTATTATTTTTTTATTTTTTGATCTTTTAAAAAAATATTTTTTTTTAGAATTGTTCTTCTTATACTTCCTAACTTGTATACATTGGTAGTATAATTCTAAATTTTAAAATTTTATTTTTCTTTTGTATTTTAACTTCTAGATTATAAATTTTTTTTAAAAAAAAATTAAGAAATGAAGAAAAAAAATTCGAGTTAAAGTAAACATGAAAATAATAATTTACCATTTTAAACAAAAAGAAAAACTAAAAGAATTAGCTAAGACAAGTTGTTTCTTCTAGGTTATTTTTTTTTTCAACTTGATTGAATTATTTAATTATTAATTTTCATGTTTCTTATTCCTTTTTTTTTATAATCTAGAAGTTAAGATACAAATGACAAACAAATTCATTTTTGAAAATTAATTTTTCATTTGTATATTAACTTGTAGATTATTAAAAAAAGGAATAAGAAACGTGAAAATTAATAATTAAATAATTCAATCGAGTTGAAAAAAATTAAATAATATATATTGTTCATACATAAATTCTTGGTATTGTTTTTTACTCAAAGTTAATAAAAAAGACGTAATAAATTATGTAAAGGTTGTATACTTTTTTTTTATAAAATTCATACACATGATATTTATGTTAAAACTTGTTCTATGGTTTTGTGTTCTGAAAAACAATTAGCCAGCTATAGAGATCAAAACATGTGTTTTGGCCTAAATGATTTATTATTATTGTTATTATCATCATTAATTCATTATTATTATTTTTCAATCGCTTTAGCCTTTAGCAATGAAGTCAGTTTAGTAGCGCACCGTCACTGCTGAAACGGTATTCTTCTTGGATGACCGAAAGCTGACATTCATTTTGACTGGAATTTCGTTCAGCCAGTGATTGTCTGGCGGTGGTATCGATATTATAGTGATCGTCGGTGGTGGTTTGGGTGATAATTGACCAAAAATACGTTTCATTTTAAGTGTGTTTTGAAACTAATTTTAAAATACATCTCAAATACTTAAAGCCATAAAATAACCCAATAACATATGTAATCCACACAGTCCAATATAATAATACAATGACTTTCATATTGAACTAGGATTTAAATGCAAACATGGACTACTTTTCAAGAAAACAATTAACTGAATAATTAGAGACCGATTGTGTACAAAAGTTGAAGTCACATAATTAATTCACTAGTTTTTTTTTTAACGGTAAAAGTTTAACCCATGATTAGGAACTATCTTATAAATGTCATATCTCATTGAAACTCTCGTTAAACTTGTCAATAGCCTTAGCTCCTATTATCATCAATAATCTACGAATAGAATTTTTGTAATAATAATATTGTCATATGGCCGTTTGGATACGAGTCATCTAAATCATGAATTTAGTCACAAATTATTAGTAGTAGTAAACAAATTACCTTTTCTCCGACACAGAATCCTCTGTGCCACTTTTTTGTGACACAATTTAATTATTCTTTATAAATTATATAATTTGTGCTAATACATATACCATAGTCACATATTGTCAATGTAGATAATTTTCATTCTCTTATTTTATTTTTTATATCAATGTTTTATTATTTATGAAATTTGACTATTTTTATTGAATTTTTTAACTATGAAAATTAAAATAAGTAAGTCCTAACTTGAAAAAAGTGAACCCTTAGTTCTGAAATATATAAGTTCGAAAGTTATTGTGAATGGTAATTTGAACGAGAACAATTTTCATTTTTTTTTTTTTTGAAAACAACACTTAAAAAGAGAGAAAGTTTAAAGAAAACTATAAGTTATAATCTCGCACCGTCAAGAAGTGAGAAGGAATCTTTTTTGGGGAGGGGGGAGGTTGGAAATGAAATCTTTTTTTTGAGGATTAATAGAGAGAAATTGAATAAAATAATGAGGAAGATGAAGAATAAAGACCCACCGTGGAGGAGGAGAGGGAAGCATTTCAGGTGATATAGACCAACCGTGGAAAAAACTACTGGAAGGTTTTGTTAGAATTAATGTTGCATCAGAAAGAATAGCAAGCAAAAAGAGTTCCGGGATGGCCTTTTGTTTGCGAAATGAGGATGGCAGACTGTTGATGGCAAAACCCATTTTCAAAGGTGAGACAATGAATGATTATATAGCAGAATTAGAGACAATATGACTAGCAATGTTGGAAGCTCAAGCTAGGGCCGGGATTACATAACATAGAGATGCAACTAGATGGTAAGGCTACGGTAGTTACAAAGGTATGCTATTCCTGTTTCAGATGTTTCAACCATAGCTGAAGATATCACTTTGCTAAAAATAGTTTTGATATATGTAAGTTTATGTTTTTTAGATAATAATAGAACTCGACATGCCACAATCTACCTAGATTAACTTTATCTCGCATTTGTACAACAAAGTTGGGAAAATGATATATGGCTAGATGAATCATTTAAGGCTGATTGTAATAATTTTTTGTAAATCACTATCAGTTTTTTCTTTCTCTGTAAATATGAATATGTCTTTGACGAAAAAAAAATGAAATCTTTTCAAAGTTATTGGAGTTTAAGGAATGTTATTTTAAAACCTACGGTAGAACATCTATATGTTCCCAGCCGGAGGGTTGATGGGATTATCACTTGTTGTCAGTAAATAAAACTTTTGAAAAGGCCAATGATTTCTTTTTTGCTATAATATCCTTTTAGGTGGTTCGTCATAGTTATAATATAGACCCTCCAATTCCGCCACTGGGTGGGAGTACAAAATTTGCTAATCAGCATATATTATAATTATTGAATGTAAGATTGAGTTTGATTGTACTCTTGAAATATAATTATCAAGTTTATTTTTTTTTTCCAAACGATTATGTCTTTTTATTTTGTTCTTTATTTTCATTGCTCTTAAATGATTACTCTATGATTAATTATGTCTCTCTCTTTTCTTTTTCATCCCCACTACTCTTGGTCTTAGATGATAATTCCATCTCTTCGTTTTCTTTTTATCCTCACTACTCTTAGATGATAACTTCATAATTAATTATTGTTAAAAATATAATGAATCTTTAATGTTGTTTTTAGTAATTTCTTCTTTTATTGTTATTACTATTAAAACTACAGAAAAATCGTTTCTCATTATTAGGTGAATTCGATCAGTTTAAAAAGTGATTCTGAGTTTCTAACCACTCGAAATTTTGTCTTATTTTCTTTTCATCTCTTTTTTGAATTTAAAAGGTTCATTAGTGAAATTTTAAATTGTTCAATAAATAAAAAGAATATTAAAAGTCATGCATCACCTATATATAGTTTTAAATTGTGTAAATTTTACTACTTTTTTCTTCTTCTTTCTTTCTAAGCCTTTGTTTTTTTTAGCTCTCTATCTCAAGTTTATTAGAGGTAATCGTCTTTTGTTGTTTATCTTCATATTTTTCTTCCACAATTTATTTATTTTTTTATAGATTTTTTCTTCTTATTTTGGTTGTTCTTTATTTTAAGGTAATACATTTAATTTTACTTTATTTCTCACTTTGCATGGTCTTTGTTTCACAATTGGAATATTGTGTTTCACTCTGTTAAAATCCAAAAGTAACGCGCTTTAGCTATTTCATTTTGTTCGATCATATTACTATGATTTAAATTTATTAAATCATTAATATTTTGTAGATAAGAGACAATAATATAACTGCTGTCTTTTTAATTATAAAATTTTATTTTTTTATATAATTCATATTATACTATTACACGTACACGCGATACCCGTCAAATCCATCTAGTGTTCATTGAAAAGCAAATGCTTCCTTGAAGCAAACTGACAAAATCCAAAATGCAGAAGAATGGAACCACAAAAGGAAACGGCTATGATTTTTGAGTTTATATCAACAATGATAAATGGTTTTAACAAGGCACAAAACTGAGGAGGATCCGAAATGACTTGTCTAGAGTACTCAAAATGATGACACTGGAAACAAAGAAATTAAAACTGTATATGGGATAATCAGCATGTAATCCTTACTGCCAAACATAATTAATAGGCAATCAGGATGCAGGATCATTGGCCCGCAACACCTTCCTTCACCCTTGAGTCAACGATCTCTGCACGGTGTTCTTTCACAGTCCGAGGTTTTTTGGAGCGCTGAAGTCAGAAACACATGAATCAAAACTTGTTGGGCAGTAATCATATGAAGAAACAAAATTCAGTGACTTATGGCATTGATTCAATAAATGGCAAGCACAAGGTACTGAAATACCAGTTATTCTAGAATTTTAAAATGCAGTTCATCTCATGCTTGCCTGTTTTGACATTCAACAAAAGAATTCAGCGCTTCAAAGTTCAAACAAAAAGATGCATAATTGGTTCATACCCTCTTCACTGTTGGTGCCTCATCACTTACGCGCAGTAACCATCGCTCCTTTATTAACGTCAAAACCTCCACATCGCCATCAAGATAATCCACCTGAAATAAAGAGATCAGAGCCGATGAGGCCTCAAAGAAAGTCATTAAAAATTTAGCCTCAAAATTTTTTACCATTTCAAGATGGAAGTAGCAAACTGATATAAGAAATCAAGAATCTTTTTTCTTTCGAATACTTAATCTAGACTTTTTGTGAATTTCTTTTGATAACTGTTGTGCATCAAAGATAACTGTGTGGCAGGAAAAAGAAAAGTAATAAGAATCACGAGGTAGGTTAAGACAAAGAAATATTTCAGATTGTGTAAGGGAAAGACAAGTCAATGAATATCTGCAAACCATGTTAGTTTCCAGGACGGGAGTGTCATGTTGTTAAATCTTATTCTTACCTGATGCTCTCTCTTGACAGGGTCATATTTCGTAACGTTTCCCTCATAAAACCTTCAGGGAAAAAAAATCTGGACTCGTTAGAGATTCAGCGTAAAACATATGGCTAGAAATTAATGCAATGCATATCTAGAAGGAAACAGTAAGTTTTTTGCTTTGAGAATTTCAAGAAACTACATTGTGTTACGTATAAGAGTATCAGACCACTATAATTCCAAAAACTTGTGCTGTCAGTGCATTTAAAGAAACATTGCTTTGGAAGTCTACCACATATATCAAAATGATTGCTAAGAAACCTTGATGAGATATATCAAACTTTCTAAATTCAATTAAAAAGCATGCTGCCCGTGGAAATGGTATATCCACAGTGCACCAGATTGAACCCGAAAGGAAACAGCTTCAGGTTTTTACACCAACATCATCTATGCAAAAATGGTAACAGTGCACATGAATAAAACAGGTCCAAAGTCAGCATGCATGACACTGATAATGGAAATACACCACCAAACTATCATAGGTAAATTTAGGTACTTACTGTTGGTCTTCCGGCCACCAGACTAGTATCCTGGAATCGACCAACTCTTCTCCATATTCTTTGTCATCTTCAGGTTTCCGACAACCCTGGGAAAGAGGAAGGGGGGAAAGAAAAAAAAAAGGCAATTAAAGGATCGCAGAAATACAGAAAATACGAGGAAATGCAATGCACTAAAAACGGTGAAAACAAGGAAATGTCATATCAGGTGTGCAGAAAACTTTTTTAGTCTAAGAATTACTATATTATATCAAATTAACAATGGAGGAACATTATGCACAAAATATTAATGACATAGAATGGTATGATACCTTTGGAAGAACTTCAGCATCGCAATCTTCCTTCCCAGTCTTTTTCTTCTTACCTTTCTTCCCTGGTAAGCTTTTCCGCTTCCCATAATTACTCTGCTTCCCTGGATTTTCAGATGAACTCTTGTCACCGCTGACCACAGAATGCTTTAGTCCTTTTCCAGACTCTGACGTGCCCGATTGAAGAGATTCTTTACCAAGAATTTGCACCTGCTCAATCTGTTCAGTGCCTGCTATCTGTAAAGTGTTTGCCTTTCCAACAGGAAGTGCTTCAGTGCATGTTTTCTTTCCCATTCCTTTGGTTTCCAAAGCATCAGGTTCTTCCACAGATTCTTTAGGAGGAAATTTCATCTGTTCAATGTGCTGATTGTCTGCTAGTGTCATTGAATTCTTCACCCCTCCTCCGGGAAGTACTTCTCCTCCAGTTTCTGTAGTGACATCTTGAACAGATCCTATAGCAATAATTGGCATCTTTTCATGATTTTCATGGACAATTAATGCCTTTGAAGTCTGCTCATTCACTAATGAGCTTTCATAATTGTCCATTTGGGTGGATGTGCTGCCCTCTGGGATTAATGGCACATCAGTGGCATCCTTGTCTGTCTCATTCATCTCCTGATATCAACATGCAAAAGTAAAGTGGACGTTCTTATCAATGTAGGCAAATGAAGGAAAGATATAACTAAAACAAAATGAGGAAAGCTAGACTTTCGCTGAAAGGAAAAATCACATTACATTTTCCAAAGCCGGCATGTCAGGCCAAATTGATGCAATTACATAGGTACAATGTTCAATGTCTTTCCTCAGCTGTTCCACAAATTCGATGAGATAAGGTTTAACAATCTCAGAGCAATTCTTCAATACTTTCGCAGCTAATATCCGGGAAGTTGGAGAATCAATCTGTGGGAAATAACAACGGTTGCTCATCTAAAAAAATCAAATGGGAGAAAATAAAGGTTGAAAGACATGTATAACACGAAGTACCTGGTTTTCCTGGTTTACCACAGTTAGAAGTGGTTTCAGAATTTCTACTGAGATATCTTCAGTTTCCTGAATTAGCAAAGTCATGATTTCCTCCATGTCTGAGAACACAACATCTGGATGGTTTGGCCTTCATCAAATAAAACAAAGAGAACTATCAGTAAAGAAGGTTGCATCAGAACACTTTCCGAAATTGAAACTTCAATAACATAAACACATTAGCCAAAGCCATAATTCTATAAACTTATTAGTCATGTCTTTCAGAAAAGTAACATGATTTCTTAAGTACGCTAAAATCACAAAAGTGGCAAAGTTATTGCAATTAGTTCATTGCGAAAATCACAAGCAAACTTTGCTGACTTACTGAATGTTATCAATAAAGGTCTCGAACATTCGGTTGATCAACTGATTACAGTCCAGGTCCAACAGAATCAAGCTAGACTTGACCTGCGCAACTGTATGAAGAATTTGCAAGGCCTGGTCATAAGAGCGACCAGAGAACGAAGACAACTTCCCGAAGACATTAGTTACAGTCTCCCGAAAAATGACCTGCATGCATTCAGACAATTAACTTAAAAAGTCTTGACACAAATTTTAAATGAAGAGGAAAGATAAAAAAGAAATGCAAATAGATATCATTTTGTGTACTAACCTTCATGCAATCATCGATGTATGGTGTATCCGGAGCTCCAACTCTGATGAGCTCGTGAATGCATGACATTACGGAAACTCTAACTTCCATATTGTCATGTTTGAAGAGCTCATCAGAAACTAGCCCGTTCATCGCTGGCACTAAGGCTTCACGTACAGCCTGAGATGGTAGTTGTTCCAGCGAGCTCAAAAGTTCTTCCATAGTCTAATAAAAGCGGTGTGAAATTAAAGACATAAGCTACAGCTAATGCAAAAGATCTATTCGCGACTTGAGTAAATCTAGGAACAAATAAATGTATGAATAATGCCAGAAGTAATTTGATAAGTTTCTGAGGCTTGTAATGAAGCATCAGCTTACCATATATATAAGCAGAGATTAGATGCAAAATTATTCAGTATATATATAAGAATTAGACCACATTCAGTTTGAGGCAAACCCCCAAAAAACTCAACTACCATTTACCAGTGTCAAACAATCGCAACCTTATATTAAATCCTTGGAAATTGAAATTTTAAGTCATGATATTCAAACGGAGTACATTTACTCAGAAAATTCATAAGCCACAGATAAGCATAAGCATCAAATAAGATCAACAGATTTATGCCCTCTTTCACTTGGGTTCTGTATCAAACAAAAATGTGCAATGCTGTTGGTTCTGTTGCATTCAATTCAGCTTTGATAACATAATTCAATTTTAGGCATGGGAGAATTACATACCATTCTTCAATCACCATACCAGAACTAAACACATAAAAGAAGGTCTCAGTAATCAAGCCATCAAAAATCATCCAACCAATCAACAAACATACATTCAAATCACCAAAAATTGAACAACAAATTCCAAATCAGAACAAAGTTTTGAGGTCTAGTGTGAAAATTTTCCACATGCATGCAAATAATCACCAAGGATATAGAATCATTTCGTAGAATTAAAAGCATTACCTTTAGGATTCCCAGAGCTTCATCGACGGATGATGGCGGAGCGAGAAGCTTCTCCCCTGCGCCAATCAACTGGGAGCAAAGCTCCGATTCCGGGATTTCGGGAGCTTCATTTGCCATCTCAAATTCAAATGAAGATAGAACCACCAAACAAAACCACCACCAAAGATAGAACGGAGGATAAACAGAGGGTTGAAGACAGAGTTGAATCAGTGATGAGCTGTCTTTTTCCAATATACCTCTAAAATTTTCCTTTTTCGTCAGCCCTTAATTTTAGTCAGTTCAGAATACAGGATTGGGATTTTGATAATCTAGTCAGTCATGCCCTGATGAAACATCTAAAATAATCCCACCAAAATCAGTTACAGGACAAAAATTAAGATGACGTCTGAGTCACCGAGTGACAATTGCGGCATTTCTGCATGCAGTTTCCTTATAGGAAGTTTTGAGTCACGTTCTTCTTGATTAATCTTTTCAGATGTGGGCAAAAGAAAAAGAAAAAGAGCCCTTTTTCTCAGGTTGTACGTTAAAGTAATCTTTTCAGGTTTGTCTGAAATTGGATTACGATGGACTCTGTTTAAAGAGAGAGTTCATTAGTGGGAAACTGAACTGAAAGTTTGAGTTCAGTCAAACGTTATTTTGACATTTGTCATTGGTCATTTTGACCGTTTTGATTTTTTTCCCTTGTCTGCCAAATTAACAGCTGCTAATTAATTGATGCCTAAAACAACAACAAATATGTAGCTCTGATGTTTTTAATAAAGAATGAATCCTAATCTTTTTTTTTTTTTTTGGGACTATATTCATTCATTTAAGCATTAAGAGATAATTAAAATTTAGCCACTGTTAAAATTCTCTATAAGTTGTTCTTTGATGTATCTCTTAATTAATTAAAATCCCGCATGGTTATTATAGTGAAAGGATTTCTAGAAAAAAAGAAATGGAAAAAAAATCATGGTAACAATAATTTGTTACTAAATGGTAGTAATATCATTATATTTAATGCTTGAAAATATTAGAGATTTTTTTTATAAAAAAAATAGCTGGAAATGGACAAAAATTAATTTAGTTATTACTACAAACAATTTGTGACTAAATTCATGATTTAGAATACTTGTGTCTAAATGTCTATATCTATAACAAAAATCCTACACATATATTCTATTGATAGCAGATGCAACTAAACGTGAAACTAACTTTAAAAAGAAACTTAGGGAATTGATTTTATTATTTTTTTGGGTTTTACATGTAGCACGATGTCCGCTATTGTTAATATTGAATAATTTGCTCGTTGATTAAGGAAATCTGTTTAGAGCGATTTTATGTACTGATGAAGCAATGATACGGAGAATGACTATATAGAGTGAAATAGAATAGTGACTCATAATATACAAAAACACCACTCCACAAATTTCATAACTACTAACATAATAAGGGACAGCTAAGTGAACGCACATGCTCTACATCAGTCACTATCACATGGCATTATTCATTTTTACTGTAAATACATTTTCATTATTGATCATATTTCAATTAGATATGATATAAAATAATTAATAAATACGTGTTATATTTAATGTTTCATAAAAAAAAACTCTTGAATTAATGGGACTTCAATTATTGTACAAATTGTTCTCTAATCATTCAGTTGCATGTTTTCATTTAAAAAAAATTAGTCTGTATTATTTCCATTTAAATACGAGTTTAGTATGAAAACGAGATATACTGGTCCGTATAAAATCTTTTTTTCTCATAAATTTATATCTTTATTATTTGTTTGAAATATATTTTAATATTATTTTCTTAAGAAAGCATATTAGAGCAATTATATTGTTTTGTCGATCATCACCAAACCTTACTTACGATCATTATACGTACTATTGAATCATCACTTTTGACCACCTCTGGCATACCAAAATTCAAGCCAAGTTGACTAACTAGTCGGCTGCCACTTGACGACTGACGGTGGAGTGTCGCTGCTTCGGTGACCGAACGCCAGTGCTACCAAGGCTCCAACTAGAGGGAATAATGTTAGGTTGTGACCTTATTATTTGGTTTTTAAAATGAATAAAGTAAATTAATAATCGAAAATTCATGCAAAAATATATTATCTGAAATATTGTTGGCTACCATGCATTTTGAAAATCACAAAACCACAAAACATCAAATTAATGTGTTTCACCGTTAAAGTGTGTACATAATATACAAAGAAAATATGACATACATCCGCTGCACCACGTCAATCATGCCCGTCAATAATAGTTGGACATCTGGTCTTGTTTATCTAATAACAGTTCTTATTTACGGCTAAATCGCTCGTCTCATAAAATTTACAGCCACACTTCTTTCCCGACAAAATATAAATATGCAAATATCGCAGTTCTTCCACGTTCCACCCACAGCCCCAAAGCAACCACCCAGTTTCATGACTCTCAAAGACAGCCATGTCCAATTTTATTAAGGCTATGTTTCTGGGAGAAAATATATCCTCACTAAAAAGGAATTTCTTTGTCGCAACCTCAATTTGACATTTGGCTAACTAATATATAAATTTTCATGTCACTCAAAACCCTTAAATCAGAAGGTTATAAATCGTGTTTATAATGAGTAATGGAGGCAGAACCATGTGAATTGCAGTATAGTTTAGTTGGATGGATTGCGTTAACCATCACTTCCTACTCCTGGCTTGCAATACCTCTTGAAAATTGCCATTCAAAAAGGATCGAAAACGTTGTTGATGAATCAGAGGTTGCATTCCCCCAATGGAACAATCAAGAGAAGAGACAATCAGGGTTGCGATTTTTTATATTATTGCCGTGGTTCCAACTTCTTAGAACTGCTGGATATTTTTGTGTGCAACCGTTCCGGTGATTATGAAAGCCAAAAAAGGAAATATGAGATTTGGATGAAAAAAATGGTTATTAGAGTTAAACAAAGCTAGGTGTTCGACTACTATTGATTTGTTGTACCACATAATCATGGTTGATGTAAAAGTGCAACGCATGTATGAAATATTTTCTCACTAATACTCATGCCAATTTAGCATATTAAAACTGTAAAAAGGTGTTTTGGAGTGCTAACTTTTAATCAGTTTAATCAATCATTTCCAAAACCCAAATTAGCCTATGCCAATAAGAGGTTTTGTTGTGAAGGAAAAACGCCTAATCATCACATCAAGGAGATCACAAAATGATATATAGCTCGCTTCCAGAAAAACTAATATGTCCATCGTCTGAATTTTGCATGAAAAAGTCTAACGTACATTGCGACAAACACGTGAGTTTTTCTTCTGTAGTAAAATTAGGTAGAGCCCTATACTTGGCTTTCAACGATTTTCTGACTCTACCACTAATTCTTTGAAGAATATGTAAGAAATAAAAAATAATGTAAGTTTAAGATACTCTTGAACCAAACAATGTCTTAGTAGGTACACCCTCTTTGTCCCTTTAATCCATCATCATAGCTACAGATCCGAGGAAAGGTTCACTGTAACTGAAATGGAAATATCGCAATACCTTTTCCGAAAGCATGAATGCACGTCAAGCAAAATTAGAAGAATAGCAATACATGCAGAGAAGAAACGACAAGGAAACTTACAAAAAACAACATGTCAATCATTTAAATTATACTTTAACCTTAAATTCGTAAATCCCAAGTACAAAATAGTAAAAATAAATGAATGGAACATTCCTTGTAATAATTTCCTTGTACATATTATGATCCATTACATTAAATACAAGTTATGACATCTTTCCTCAACTGTTTCATAAAATTCTATGATCCGACAAAGTGACGAAATAATACGTGAAAAATGATATAGCTAGGTAGCTCATCCACACATTAAAATGGGAGAAAATAAAGGTAGAGACTTGAGAAACATATATATATATATATATATATATATATATATATAATGCTAGCTGGTTTTCCACAACTACAAGAGAATTAAGAAGATGTAGCAAGTCTTTTATCACTTTCATGAATAAGCAACATCATGATATCGTCCATGTTAAGAGAACACGTACGGCATGTGGGCTAGATTGTTTGGCCTTAATATATATAATAGAGAGTTATCAATAAAGAAGGATACATCAAGAACCCTCTCTCTAAATTCAAACTCCTTGTAAAGTAAACAAAGTAGCCAATTCTAAAAACTTTTTTTTTCTGAAAATAACGTATAAGTAATCTAGAAATTATGATTCAATATACTTTAGAAAGGAAATTAACGTATAAGTACTCTAAAAGCACAAAATTGGCATGTTTCTAGCCGCTTGGGTCAATCAGACGGAAGAGGGTAAGTCATATAAACAAATAACTGCACAAATGAATGTCAGAAGTTATCAGGTATGTTTCAAATCTTGTAATGAAACATCAACCTACTAAATAAGCAAAAAATATTAGATACTAATTAAAAACCACAAATCAGAACAAGGTTTACTACTGGAAAGTAGATTACTAGGGACTATTTGTTTGAGTGGGAAACTACGAAACTGAAGGTGAAGTCAGACAATTGTGAGTTGTGACTGTTTTCATTGACCATTTTTCTAAAGAAAACAAAAATAATTTAAGAATAATGATACAAGAAACAATTTACAAGAAAAGTGAGAAGAAATAATGTAGATTAAATCCCACAAATTTATTTTCATACATTCTATTTGGGTTTTGTAAATTAAGGTTAATTAAAGGGATAGTTAAGATTAAAGGTGTTAACAGAAAGAATCATTTGGGTAATGCGGAAAACATCCCTTTGCGGGCGATAAGTTTACAAAATGAAAATTAAAGAGAAGATGATTTTGCAAAAAAGAGAGTTTCAACTGCTTTGCAGTGAAAGAAATTTTTTCCTATTAAATAAACCTTTGGCTTCTAATTCTTATAACTTCTCACTACATTTTCTTCTCTACTTTACATGGGCGTAATCCTTATTAATTATAGTAGTATATGGAATATTCTACAAGTTTTCAAGATTATTCTACTTCTCCAAACTGTCAAGATATTCTTCCTAATATCTGGATTTTTCTCCTAGATACTTCTATAGATTATTCTACAAAAAAAAAAATAGATATTTTGTTTATATTTTCTACAACTTTCTTTCTTAATTATTTAGATGATTATTACTAATG